AAGTTACCATAATGAGGAAACTCTTGCCGGGGCAGACGGCTCCAAAGACGGAAGCTTGCGCAGTTCCAAAATGAGTAAACCTTGTTATTTACGATGTATACCCGTATTATGGTCACTTAATTTAAGTTCCTTATCATATATACTCGAATTATGGTATTTTAAGTTTCTAGTATTTACTATATATACCCATATTATGGTGAGTTAGTTCCTTAACAGCAGCACAGTTTAACTACTTCGGGAGATCATTGTCCGCGAATGGCGCTGGCTTCTGCTTCCCCAGCTCCCCTCAGTGTTAATTAAGGGTTTCGGGTTTAGGGTTTCAGGTTTAGGGTTCAGGATTTTCGCGAAATGTCCCACGGTAGCGTGGTGCTCCGCAATCATGGCATGTACGCTGTCACCTTGACCTAACACTGTCTGTCCTCCACAGCTTCTTTACAACATCCAGGGCTTGAAAAGGCTATGGCCGGAAGGTTCAGCAACCAGGTTTTTCTGCCACAGAAGCACTCAATAATCGCAGTGTTTGGATTCCTGTACAATCATGTCAAGGCGTGTGGTAAGCTCTATCCAACCGGTGGGGAGTCTAAACTGCAAGCCTAAACCTTGTAATCCTTCAGCCTAGAGGTGTCCTGGATTTTTTTTTTATCTTTGCTGGCTACAACGTCAAAATGGTAGTTTCCCAAAATAGGGGGACTCCGATGCCAAGCTACTATAGTCGTTATTATTGGGACCCCTAAAATAGTACCCCTAATTTTTGGAACCCCCCGAACAAACAGCTGAATGTGGTTTCTGGGAGGGTTCCCAGGCAGACTCAGTGAACCCTGAGGCAGTCCAAAGTCTTTGCCATCAATTTTTGGGGGACAGACGCCCAGAAAGCTGATGTCCCAAAAGGGTTTAGGGTTTAGGATTAGGCTTTAGGGTGTAGGGATTAGGGTTAACGGTTTGGGGGTTAGGAATTAGGGTTGAGGATTTAGGGAGTCGGGGTCTAAGGCAAACCAGAGCAACTGAACTGCGGAGTCATAGGTAAGCATTAAAATCGGTACTGCACCACAACAGGGTTTACAAACACTGGGCTGCTGTGAAGCAACTTAAATTCAGTTACCATTATATGGGTGTATCGTGAATACCAGTTAACAGGGTTTCCTTACCATAGTAGCTTAATTTAAGTTCATTAACAACAACCCAGGAAAAATGCTGAGACTGTTCAAAGGCGTCTGTTTCGTTGTTTCAGTAGAGCCAAACGCTTGAGCTATCTTGTGCGACGCATTGAACTTACTGGTGGTTAGCACAGAATATCCCTGTATGATATATGCGCCTTTATTCCCTACTAACCCCCCCTACCCTAATCCCTAAACCCTAAACCCTAAACCCCCAGACCTTCGGGAACACTAAGTCCCGAGACTCCGAAGTCGAACGTCTCAAGCTCCAGGAGCAGTGCATCATCGGCCATGTGTCCATCGCAGGAGATTCTTGTGATCATAGTCCCCCTTAAGTACATAGAATATGGGGTATATGGTGATCTTATTATAATATACCCAAAGCCATATTCTATCTACTTAAAGGGGCCTATAAGCACCGCCTCTTCACAGGTGGCAGTCTTCCTCCGGAGCGCTGAACCCTTGTCGGTAATGATAAATGCCAATAGGGTAAGATTTATTCAGGCAATCATGGGTTTTACACCAGAGGCTGCTACTGGCCGAAATACTTCGCTGCTGATGCGGGTATGCAAGCTAGCAACGTCCGGCCGGCAGCGTATCACATGCACTGCATTTACATCAACATGTATCCGTTCTCCACAGTTTTGCTCTTATACGCACTACTGGTCTCGGCACAATGTCTCTGTTGCTTTCATTGCTGCTGTTGCTCCGCAGATAGAACCAGCACCACATCCGCCACCTCCGCAGAGAAAAATATTGTTGCTGCTGCCAGTGCCTTTGCTGCAGGTGACGGCTCAAAGACTACTGCCGCTGCTGCAGCTAGCATCAGTACAAGTGCGAGTATGCACCCCTACAACTCCTATTGCTACACTACAACGCGGAGGAGGAGCGGGATTAAGCAGGAGGAGGAGCAGGGAGAGTACAGGCAGGGATCAGAAGGAGGAAGAGGTGGAGGAAGAGGAGGACTTCGACGAGGACGGCGAACTGAACGACGATCACAGAGCGTCAGCCGTACATCAATCTGTTTCGCGTGCTAGGCATGGGAGACAGCTGCGACAATGGCTCAAATTCCGCTTATGACTACCTTTTTTTTGGGTGTGTTTTTGTGCAACCTTTTCCTTTGCAGGACATCGGCCGAAGCCTGTGTCTTGGCAGCGACGTTGTTCTGAAGTTTCTCCAAACTGCAAATCCGTGTATGGTTTGTGCGAGACGGACGCCAAAGATAAGGTCAGCATTTCAGGGTTTTGGATTCTGGGTATGCCAAATCCCAAGTTATAACCATTTAACGTCTACAGTCTGTTATATTATATATACATATATATATATACATAGACAACAGAAGTGTTGTGTAATTTGCCTACCTAGTGTGGATTCAGGGTTTCAAGGCTGTGGATTTCGGGGGAGTCTTCTCATGGGTCCCTCTACTCTCCCCCAATTAGCCCTCGCTGCCCTAAAATAGCCTTAATTAACGGGGCATGTCGGGGGCTTGTATTGACGGTGGTAGCGGGACCCATGAGCTCAGGGGTTAATGGTTCATGTCCAAGGCCCCTAAACCTTGGACCCTAAACCCTAAATCCTAGATCTTACTCCCTAGACCCTACACCTTAGACCCTGAACCCCTTTACCCTACTCTCTAGACCGTAGACCCCCAAACCCTCTACCCTGGACCCTTCACCCTAAATCGCATCTCGAGCGCATGTCCTTGGATGATACGGTCGGTTGCAAGTTCACATAGGAGTTGCTCAAATTCCTCCTTGTTTTGGAAAGTAGCTCAAAGAAATTCAATCATTCGGCACATCATTGGATTGTTTGACAGAGGGTCCTATGATTCTTGCCTGTTGGACGTCCTAATTGTAGGTATTTCTCACCCTAAACCCTAAGCCCCGTTGCTCTAGGCATCCTCAAAGAATGAGGATCCTTATCACAGGAGCCACTGCCTAAAAAGAGGAGCATACCATGTATCTCACCAAGGAGGGATTTAGGGATTTGGGGTTTAGGGATCGTAGGGTATTGGGTTTAAGGTTTAGGGATCCTTCCAGTGGAAGTTTACAAAGGCCTGATATAGCTTCCAGGCCTTGATAAAAGGTAGAGCTGGAGCACGCAAGAGAAGAAATGAGCTATAGTCTAAACTCATTCAAGGGGGGTTCCATAGGGGATTTTAGAGGGGAGTATTATAGGGGTTATTAAAGGGGATCCTGGGAGTTTAGACTATAGCTCAAGTGTTCATGTGCAATCAACGCCGAACAGCGCAGGCTTTCGAACCCTAAGCCCTAAGGCCTCAGCCGCTTCGCACGGAGGGGTTTCGGCTTCCTAGGCAAAGTCTAGGTTGACACTTCCCCTTACCGAAGAAAAGACTGCTTAAGGGGAGTGGAGAGTGGATCACCAGATCAACCCCACAATTGATAAACCCTAAGCCCCTACACCCTGAGAATATGATGCAAGTATTCCTGGTCCCTCTCCCCTTCAAGGTCCGGTAGAGGCTGCGAACATGACCCTTACTTGCTGCTTGCTAGTGGGGAATGGAGGAATGGATCCCTGTAAAGCCCCCGCGGTATAATTATGATAGCCGCGCCTGCAAGAAAGTTTAACCGTAAATACTAAAGAAACTTGATGCGTAAACATCCTAAGAACCTAAAAGGCCTAGAGCTCCGAACTTAAACCCTAAAACCCGAAATGCTACATACCCTAAATCCTCAACCCTAAGTTCTATCCTAAGGACCCTAAACCTTAAACCCTAAACCCTAAACCTTAAACCCTAAACCCTAAACCCTAAACCCTAAACCAGCAGATCCAGAGCCATGGGTCAGGGAGCCTGCTGTTGTGAGTCCAAGGGCCACCCAGGGAAGGAAGTTGAACCGAGCCCAGGCAAGGTCTTTAGGGCTTAGGGTTTCAGGGGTTTAGGTGTTTAGGGCTTAGTGTTTGAGGTTTAGGGTTTAGGGTTCAGGGTTTAAGTTTAGAGTTTGGGGGTTTGGGGTTTAGGGTACTTGGAGGGTCAGGGGAACTTAGTAATGGAAATGAGCATGGAAACTACAACTGCATTATTTAGGGTGCAGGGTCACGGGGGTTTAGAAAGCAATGGAACGTGCTACTATATCATTCCAAATTTAGGGAGTCGGGGAATTTGATGATAAGTAGGTTTCTTATGGGATTAAGTGGGGTCACTGTATGGATTGTAGGGGTTATTAACCTACTTACGACGAAGCCGCGCTGAAACTCCAAGTACGGTTCAGGGCTCTTTGCTCGGAGTCTTGATAGTAAGGAGTATGGCGTTTGGGCGTATATATCAGCGGGTCCCTCCCATTTGTTGAACGAGGAATTCGGCCAGCTGTAATAATGTCGTACGCTAGAATTGTAGTTGCAGCAGCGCAAGCCACAACTTTTTCTATATATATATATACATATACATACACATGTATATGTTTAAAAGTATGTATACGTATGTGTATGCATACACCCATCAACCTCCAAGCAGGTGTCCATGCATCTGTCAGCTTTGCACAAGACGAAAATGAGCCTACCAACGTCACTGACGGTGATGCATCGGTTGCATCTTCAGATTATAATGGTGCCACCGAAATGCCGACATATCCAGATTGGAACATCTTCGGCGAAGTGGCGCTTCGGGAAGGTGCTCAGCTGGACGTGGATTCTGAGCTTGTGCGATCCATTTCCCTGGCCAGAACCTTGCTGGTGGTCAGTAGGGAAAGTAGGAAAAGATAATGTTTAAGCATGATTCTTTGGGATCATATAAGGACTTCCACAGGGATCCGTTCCTCACATCCACAAAAATCACTTGAAGGTACTTTGCGTGGATGTGGATGGCTTTGGCGAGTGAGGCCTGAGAAAATGAACCAGGCTCAGTTCGTGGACTTGTGGGAGAGGTCTGCAGAAGCTGACGCATTCGATGCCTTCATCTCCCACACATGGGCGACGCCTGGATATCAGAAGTTCCTGGGTTGCTGTTAAGGAATTTAAATCAAGTTACGATAACGGGTATATATATATATATATAGTGAATTATGGGGTTTCCCCAATATAGTAACTTAAATTAAGTTGCTTAACAGCAACCCAGGTTCCTGTCCTTACTCCTCAGCTCATACTGGCACTATGCAATAGCGGCCTGGCTCCTCTCAGCGATCCTACTGACGATTCTCTATGCTTTAGGTGTTCTGCCCTTGGTTGTCTTGATTGCAAGCAACATGCAGGGGTATCAAGTTGACATTCCGTGTGGACCTTGGATTTTTCTGTCGACGTTTTTCTCCGCAACTTGCGGACTCTTCTGTGCGCCCTACCTAGCTTCTTGTACTTGCCGCACGTCCAGATGCTTCTACGATGCCGCTTGCGTGAACCAAGTAGATCCTGTGCAGCGAGAGCGTGGAATCTATGGGATTGGCGGATTTTTGGCCATTTCTCGGCAATTATGGATACTGTGGAGCCCACCCTACCTCTCGCGCTTGTGGTGCGTACCCTTGCAGCAGAATTAGAAGGATCGAAGGATCTTAGTTCAAGTTAGGGTCACTGCAGATGACACCGCTGTGATTTTGCTCGTACAGAATACATATGTATTTTGCCTTGGCGTGTAATGCTGTGAGATGCTTGACACAAGTTTGAAAGAGTAAGCTTGATCTTATGCTGCTTCATGTCCTTGTATTTTTCCAAGATGCCCTGGATTGCCGTTAAGGAATTGAAGTTAAGTTACTGTAACAAGGAAAAGCTATTTTATATACTCATCGTATGCTGACTTAATGTAAATTCCGCAACAACGGCAGAGTACCCTAAGCCCTAAAAGCCGAAACCCGAAACCGTCACCCATAAACCCTACAGCCCGAAACCCTGAACCCTGAACCCTAAACCCTAAACCATAAGCCATAAAACCCGAAACCTTAAACCCTAAACCGTACACCCTGTCAGCGAAGAGGTTGGAGTTGGAGTCTCACTGTTGGTTAGAAGTCGTGGCCATCTTTTTGAACACACGGTTTAAGGGTTTAGGGTTTCGGGTTTTGGGAGTTAAGACTGTAGTACACATAATCCCTATAGAATATATTGCCTTGTTGTGTACTAAGAAGCAATAGGGCAGTTGTTACAATTCTTATGCAACCCGAAACCCTAAACCCCAAATACCTTAAACGAGGTCTTTGAGATTGCAGCGTACCGAACAGCGAATCCGGGCGGTGAGTTAAAGATCCAGCCTTTATTCGTCGAGCGCGACATCTTAGCTGTGCCTGGGTTTAGGGTTTAGAGTGTAGGTTTTAGGGTTTATGGGGATATGAGTGATAGCCTAAGCTGTTTAAAGGGGGTTATACAGGGGATTAGATAAGGGACAATTACAATCTCATTAAGCAGAATACCAGGAGTTTAGATTATAGTTCATATGGAAGCCCTATCATTGAGCGTTCTGAGAGTATATAGGTACCTTCTATTTTGGGAAGGGGCAACATCCGGTTCAGGGTTTAGGATGTAGGGTTTACCGTCTAGGGTTTAGGAAGTACGGCTTTTTCAAAACAAGGACGGGTTCAGGCATCTGCGGGCTGTTCTTTTGAGAGCAAGAATCAACAGTATTTTAAGTGGTGATACTAGAGTCCTCCAGGTCCCGCCCATACGGCGTAGAATCCCTCCTTGGGGCTATGATGTTTCATAAGATCGTTATTACCTTGCTGGTGACCACAAAAAAACTCAAATGGTTGGAAACTTGGAAACATGGTAACAAGTGATCTGGTTCACATCATCGAACTTCAGATTTGTAGCTGACTTCATCTATGGAGCAAGTCCTCCCACAGGCATGCAAGGTGTTCCAACCTATTCCCTAAACCCTAGACCCTGGACCGTGTTCTCTGGTTCCTGGATCCCGCAGCCCTTCAACGGAAACCTACCCTAAAGCCCCAATTAGAATTCTGAATCCTTGAGGAGTAGAAACACTGAAGCCGGAAAGCTGAAGCAATTAAGGTGTGGCCGGGCGTGTTCTTGTTCGTTTTCATCTTCATCACGTCAACGGCTGGCAGCAGTTTGAGCATCTAGTCGTTTATAAAGGATGAAGGTTTAGGGTTTAGGGATTGGGATTCAGGATGTAAACCCCCAAACCCTAAACCCCAAAACCCCAAACCCAAAACCTTAAACCCTAAACCCTAAGCCCGTAGCTGTTCAAATTTGGGTCTCCCTAGAGTCCGAGCCCTAGACCCTAAACCCTAAACCCAGAACAGTAAACCCAAACGAAGCCTGAAAGCTCAACTTAGTCCTAAACCTTACTTGGAGGATCAGGGCCAGGGTTTAGGGTTTAGGTTTTGGATGGGACTTTGGTAAGCAGGTTAAGAACCCCTGTATGAATTCATGTAGCAACCCTAGATATCCCCATTATTACCCTACTTCATAAGTCCCCCTGACCTTTGACTGAAAACCTTACACCCTAAACCCTAAACCCCTCAAAAAAAACCCAACTAAGTAAACCCTGGCAGTAGCCCAGGACTTGGAGCAACCGCACTCTGCTTTTGCGGTTTTTTTCCGTGCGTCCACGTGATCCGGAAGGGGTATTCTGGGCAGAGATATGGGGATTCCAAAGACGAGGGAAAGTCTTTTTGTTAAGGGTTATAGTATTGTTGGGTTTATGGAGCCCGCGATGTTCGCACGCCCCATGTGGGCACGTGCCGAAACAGGGGATCCCTGACATGAAGTATCCCGCTACCTATGGGTTTGTACTTGCAGGAACCTTGTTGAGGCACAGGGCCATTTAGCAAACAAGTTTTGGTGTTCTGCCAGCTCTCAGCGTGCAAGAGTCTAAAGCTTTATTTTAAAGAGGCATGCATGCTTGGAGTTTACTTTTGCGGAGGATTGCTTGTTTTGTAAGACGCTGGGAACAACCCAGGTACCAGGAACAGGAGCAGATGTTCGCACACTTGGCACACTTCGATGTCAGTGCAGCATCCTGTTCCAGTGATTTCGATCGTGAGTTCATTTTGTCGGCTGTTTCTCAATGGCAGCTGGGCCCTAAACTTATGAGTTGTCCTAACCCCACCCCTAAAAATTCCCTCAAGCAATTTTACTTTGGCCTACGGCTTAATGGAAAGTTAAGGGGATCTGGTAGTTGCGGCCTTAGAGCTTAGGGTCTAGGGTTTATGGTCCCTTTTGCGGTAGTTGACAGTTGACTTTGGTTAGAGTACCTGGAGGGTGACGGGGGCCAGTGAGTAGGTTAGTCACCCCCATAGTCCATGCAGTAACCCTCGTTCTCCCCGTGACTAGCCTACTCTTGCTGGTAAGCAAGGTCTGAAGGGCTAGTTAGTACCTGCACCAAAATGGCTGGTAGTTTATATGGGAAGTAGGTCCAAGCTTGCTTACTATCAGATCTGAAATTATCACAAAAACAGTGATAGTTCAGTGTGTGCTAGCAACCTGTGTATCCCCCTGCCTTGATCTCACGAACCCCACACTCCTGGCCCGAAACTCTTACTTGGAGGGTCAGGGGGACTTTGTAAGTTGGTTAATAGTGGGGATATGTAGGGTTACTATATGGCTTATAGGGATTATTGACCTACTTACTAAGTCCCCACGACCCTCCAAGTACCCCTGTACGTGCTAACCTATGCCCTGCGCCGTTAGGCTAAACTACTGCCCTTTCTTTCTACCCCGCGCTTTTGCACCCGCAAGCCAGGTATGGAAGCCTTAAAGACTTCACGAACTTTGTGCGCGGAACGCTGAAAGAAGAGCTGATGCAAAATTTGCTCCGAACCGGCGTGCCACTGCAGTATCTGGGAGTCCCCCCTAAGTAGATAGAATATAGGGTTCAGGGTTTAGGGTTTAGGATCTTGGGTTTGATTTGCTTCGGAGTTAACGTGTGGGCGGCACGTTAAGGTTTGTTTAGGGTTTAGGGT